ATATCCCCCTTATGTATTATATCATGGATAGATCATATCCCCCTTATGTATTATACATGGAGATCATATCCCCCCTTATGTATTATACATGGAGATCATATCCCCCCTTATGTATTATACATGGAGATCATATCCCCCCTTATGTATTTATACATGGAGATCATATCCCCCTTAGCGTATTATACATGGAGATCATATCCCCCTTATGTATTATACATGGAGATCATATTCCCCCCCCTTATGTATTATACATGGAGATCATATCCCCCCCTTATGTATTTATACATGGAGATCATAACTCCCCCCCTTATGTATTATACATGGAGATCATATCCCCCCTTATGTATTATACATGGAGATCATATCCCCCCTTATGTATTATACATGGAGATCATATCCCCCCTTATGTATTATACATGGAGATCATATCCCCCTTATGTATTATACATGGAGATCATATCCCCCCTTATGTATTATACATGGAGATCATATCCCCCCTTATGTATTATACATGGAGATCATATCCCCCCTTATGTATTATACATGGAGATCGGAGATCATATCCCCCCTTATGTATTATACATGGAGATCATATCCCCCCTTATGTATTATACATGGTGATCATATCCCCCCCTTATGTATTATACATGGAGATCATATCCCCCCCTTATGTATTATACATGGAGATCATATCCCCCCTTATGTATTATACATGGAGATCATATCCCCCCTTATGTATTATACATGGAGATCATATCCCCCCTTATGTATTATACATGGAGATCATATCCCCCCTTATGTATTATACATGGAGATCATATCCCCCCCTTATGTATTATACATGGAGATCATATCCCCCCCTTATGTATTATACATGGAGATCATATCCCCCCTTATGTATTATACATGGAGATCATATCCCCCTTATGTATTATACATGGAGATCATATCCCCCCCTTATGTATTATACATGGAGATCATATCCCCCCCCTTATGTATTATACATGGAGATCATATCCCCCTTATGTATTATACATGGAGATCATATCCCCCCCTTATGTATTATACATGGAGATCATATCCCCCCTTATGTATTATACATGGAGATCATATCCCCCCTTATGTATTATACATGGAGATCATATCCCCCCCCTTATGTATTATACATGGAGATCATATCCCCCCTTATGTATTATACATGGAGATCATATCCCCCCTTATGTATTATACATGGAGATCATATCCCCCCTTATGTATTATACATGGAGATCATATCCCCCCTTATGTATTATACATGGAGATCATATCCCCCCCTTATGTATTATACATGGAGATCATATCCCCCCTTATGTATTATACATGGAGATCATATCCCCCTTATGTATTATACATGGAGATATATCATGGAGATTATACATATCCCCCCCTTATGTATTATACATGGAGATCATATATCCCCCTATGTATTATACATGGAGATCATATCCCCCCTTATGTATTATACATGGAGATCATATCCCCCCTTATGTATTATACATGGAGATCATATCCCCCCCTTATGTATTATACATGGAGATCATATCCCCCCTTATGTATTATATACATGGATCATATCCCCCCTTATGTATTATACATGGAGATCATATCCCCCCTCCCTTATGTATTATACATGGAGATCATATCCCCCCCTTATGTATTATACATGGAGATCATATCCCCCCCTTTATGTATTATACATGGAGATCATATCCCCCCTTATGTATATTATACATGGAGATCATATCCCCCCCTTATGTATTATACATGGAGATCATATCCCCCTTATGTATTATACATGGAGATCATATCCCCCCTGTATTATTATACATGGAGATCATATCCCCCCTTATGTATTATACATGGAGATCATATCCCCCCTTATGTATTATACATGGAGATCATATCCCCCCTTATGTATTATACATGGAGATCATATCCCCCCTTATGTATTATACATGGAGATCATATCCCCCCCTTATGTATTATACATGGAGATCATATCCCCCCTTTATGTATTATACATGGAGATCATATCCCCCCTTATGTATTATACATGGAGATCATATCCCCCCTTATGTATTATACATGGAGATCATATCCCCCTTATGTATTATACATGGAGATCATATCCCCCCTTATGTATTATACATGGAGATCATATCCCCCCTTATGTATTATACATGGAGATCATATCCCCCTTATGTATTATACATGGAGATCATATCCCCCCTTATGTATTATACATGGAGATCATATCCCCCCCTTATGTATTATACATGGAGATCATATCCCCCTTATGTATTATACATGGAGATCATATCCCCCCTTATGTATTATACATGGAGATCATATCCCCCTTATGTATTATACATGGAGATCATATCCCCCCTTATGTATTATACATGGAGATCATATCCCCCCTTATGTATTATACATGGAGATCATATCCCCCCTTATGTATTATACATGGAGATCATATCCCCCCTTATGTATTATACATGGAGATCATATCCCCCCTTATGTATTATACATGGAGATCATATCCCCCTTATGTATTATACATGGAGATCATATCCCCCCTTATGTATTATACATGGAGATCATATCCCCCTTATGTATTATACATGGAGATCATATCCCCCCTTATGTATTATACATGGAGATCATATCCCCCCCTTATTATACATGTATTATACATGGAGATACATGGAGATCATATCCCCCTTATGTATTATACATGGAGATCATATCCCCCCTTATGTATTATACATGGAGATCATATCCCCCCCTTATGTATTATACATGGAGATCATATCCCCCCTTATGTATTATACATGGAGATCATATCCCCCCTTATGTATTATACATGGAGATCATATCCCCCCTTATGTATTATTTATTATACATGGAGATCATATCCCCCCCTTATGTATTATACATGGAGATCATATCCCCCCTTATGTATTATACATGGAGATCATATCCCCCCTTATGTATTATACATGGAGATCATATCCCCCCCTTATGTATTATACATGGAGATCATATCCCCCCTTATGTATTATACATGGAGATCATATCCCCCCTTATGTATTATACATGGAGATCATATCCCCCTTATGTATTATACATGGAGATCATATCCCCCCCTTATGTATTATACATGGAGATCATATCCCCCTTTATGTATTATACATGGAGATCATATCCCCCCTTATGTATTATACATGGAGATCATATCCCCCCTTATGTATTATACATGGAGATCATATCCCCCCTTATGTATTATACATGGAGATCATATCCCCCCCTTATGTATTATACATGGAGATCATATCCCCCCTTATGTATTATACATGGAGATCATATCCCCCCTTATGTATTATACATGGAGATCATATCCCCCCCTTATGTATTATACATGAGATCATATCCCCCCCTTATGTATTATACATGGAGATCATATCCCCCCTTATGTATTATACATGGAGATCATATCCCCCCTTATGTATTATACATGGAGATCATATCCCCCTTATGTATTATACATGGAGATCATATCCCCCCTTATGTATTATACATGGAGATCATATCCCCCCTTATGTATTATACATGGAGATCATATCCCCCCTTATGTATTATACATGGAGATCATATCCCCCCTTATGTATTATACATGGAGATCATATCCCCCCTTATGTATTATACATGGAGATCATATCCCCCCTTATGTATTATACATGGAGATCATATCCCCCCTTATGTATTATATTATGTGTTCTTTTTGTGATTTGGAGCCCAAAACTGAACTGCATATTCCACATGAGGTGTTACCTGATGATTTGTACCCCGGGGGGAGGGGGGGGGGGTGATATCTCTCTCTGCAGTCTATACCTCTCCTAATACGAGAGGATTTTGCTCACTTTAGAACACATAGTTTTGCATTGCTGCCATTATTGAGCTTGTGATCTACTAGAAACCCCAGATTCTTTTCCTTCATTGACCACCCCAGATTCTTTACCACTGACCCCTACCCCTCCAGACCCTTCTGCACAATTGCCCCCCAGATCCTTCTCCACCATTGACCCTCCCAGATCCTTCTCCACCATTGTCCCCCAGATCCTTCTTGTCCCCAGATCCACCATTGTCCCCCAGATCCTTCTCCACCATTGACCCCCCACAGATCCTTCTCCACCATTGTCCCCCAGATCCTTCCCATTGACCCCACAGATCCTTCTCCACCATTGACACCATTGTCCTCTTCAGATCCTTCTCCATCATTGACCCCCTCCAGTTGTACCCCCCCTAGTATGTATGATGCGTGCATATTCTTAGCCCCCCCAAGTGCAGAACCTTACATTTATCACCATTAGCCCTCATTGGCCCCATAGTCCCCCAATTACACAGAGCATTGAGGTCGGCTTGTAAGTTGGAGACATCCTGTAAGGACGTTATTCCCCGGCACAGCTTGGTGTCATCTGCAAAGACTGAGATCCCCGACACCATATCGTACATATAGATTCGGCAGAAGTAAGGGTCCCAACAGTGAACCCTGGGGTACCCCACTAATAACACTGAACCTTGGGGTACCCCACTAATAACACTGAACCTTGGGGTACCCCACTAACAACACATTGAACCTTGGGGTACCCCACTAACAACATTGACCCTTGGGATACCCCACTAATAACACTGAACCCTTGGGGTACCCCACTAATAACACTGAGCCTTGGGGTACACCACTGACACCCCCAACCATTCAGATTATGAATCATTAACCACTACTCTCTGAATACCATCTTTTAGCCAGTTTTCTATCCATTTACATTCAGATTTTCCAGCCCATAGACTTTACCTTACACATTAGCCATTGTGGGGGAACTGTGTCCAAGTATACCACGTCCCACCGCCACCCCTCTGTCCAAGTATACCACGTCCACCCCCATCTGTCCAAGTATACCATTTCCACGATCCACCCTCTGTCCAAGTATACCACGTCCACCCCCTTGTCCAAGTATACCCACGTCCACGTCCCACCCTCTGTCCAAGTATACCACGTCCACGTCCACCCCTCTGTCCAAGTATACCACGTCCACCGCCACCACTCTGTCCAAGTATACCACGTCCACCGCCACCCCTCTGTCCAAGTATACCACGTCCACGTCCACCCCTCTGTCCAAGTATACCATGTCCACCGCCACCCCTCTGTCCAAGTGTACCACGTCCACCGCCACCCCTCTGTCCAAGTGTACCACGTCCACCGCCACCCCTCTGTCCAAGTGTACCACGTCCACCGCCACCCCTCTGTCCAAGTGTACCACGTCCACCGCCACCCCTCTCTGTCCAAGTGTACCACGTCCACCGCCACCCCTCTGTCCAAGTGTACCACGTCCACCGCCACCCCTCTGTCCAAGTATACCACGTCCACCGCCACCCCTCTGTCCAAGTATACCACGTCCACCGCCACCCCTCTGTCCAAGTATACCACGTCCACCGCCACCCCTCTGTCCAAGTATACCACGTCCACCGCCACCCCCCCTGTCCAAGTATACCACGTCCAAGTTTGGGGGAATCAATCAGCTCCTGTCTAGTAATCCTCTTTGTCTTTGTATTTTAGTCCATGGCCGGGAGATGAGGAAAACCTCCGAGGATTGTCTCACTTTGTCTCCAGACTGGAAAGTAGAAGATGAGGACATCACACAGTATAGTCCAGGAGAAAACCCGGCTCCCTCCAATGTCCATCCGGCACCACCCAGTGTAGATGGACCATCGGATTCCTCGTATCCTGAGGAACCTCAGACTGTGCGGGACCGGGCCGGCCTTCCAACAGGAAAGAGCTTTTCCTGTACTGAGTGCGGGAAGGGTTTCCAGTGTAAATCCAATCTTAATAGGCATAAAAGATCTCACACGAGGGAGAAGCCGTATTCCTGTCCTGAGTGCGGGAAATGTTTTTCAGTCAAGTCCAATCTTTACACACATCAAAGATCTCACACAGGGGAGAAGCCACATTCTTGCCCTGAGTGTGGGAAATGTTTTTTGCAGAAGTCCGATCTTTACACACATCAGAGAACTCACACAGGGAGAGAAGCCGTATTCCTGTCCTGATTGTGGGAAATGTTTTTCAAAGAAGTCCAGTCTTCACAGACATCAGAGATCTCACACGGGGGAGAAGCCGTATTCCTGTTCTGTGTGCGGGAAATGTTTTTTGCAGAAGTCTGATCTTTCCACACATGAGAGATCTCACACAGGGGAGAAGCCGTATTCCTGTCCTGAGTGCGGGAAATGTTTTTCACAGAAGTTTGATCTTTACACACATCAGAGATGTCACACAGGGGAGAAGCCGTATTCCTGCCCTGAGTGCGGGAAACGTTTTTCAGTGAAGTCCAATCTTTTCAAACATCAGAGATCTCACACAGGGGAGAAGCCACTTTCCTGTCCTGAGTGTGGAAAATGTTTTTCAAATATGTCCTGTCTTCACAGACATGAGAGATCACACACGAGGGAGAAGCCATATTCCTGTCCTGAGTGCGGGACATGTTTTTCACAGAAGTCCAATCTTCACAGACATCAGAGATCTCACATGGTGGAGAAGCCATATTCCTGCCCTGAGTGTGGGAAATGTTTTTCAGAGAAGTCCTATCTTTCCAGTCATCAGAGATCTCACACAGGGGAGAAGCCGTATTCCTGTTCTGAGTGCGGAAAATGTTTTTCAGATAACTCTAATCTTCACAAACATAAGAGATCTCACACGGGGGAGAAGCCTTATTGCTGTCCTGAGTGTGGGAAATGTTATTCACTGAAGTCCCATCTTTATACACACCAGAGATCCCACACAGGGGAGCAGACATATTCCTGTTCTGAGTGCGGGAAATGTTTTGTATACAAATCAGAACTTGTTATACATCAGAGATATCACACGGGGGAGAAGCCATATTCTTGTCCTGAGTGCGGGAAATGTTATTCACAGAAGTCCCATCTTTCCAGACATCAGAGATCTCACACGGGGGAGATGCACTTTCCTGTCCTGAGTGAGGGAAATGTTCCTCTCTGAAGTCCTGTCTTCCTGTACATCAGGGATCCCACACAACCCTGGAGGTGTATTAGTGCCTAGAGTGCGGGAAATGTCTTCTAGATGAATGTTGCTGGACATCCCAGCTCTCATGTGGGGAAGAAGCACACCCTGATATACACCTCAGATATACTCCATGGCTGATCTTCATCATGGAAGAAACAGTTTGAAAGGAGATCAGAGGCCCCCAAAGACATGGATGAAGTGTGGGACCGGGTCGGCCATTGATGGCAGGAGAAGAATAAAAATGGAGTCAATGTTCTAGCAGAAGCTCTCACAAACACTTGGAGGTCTGATGGAGGTGTGGAAGTGTGAGGTCCTGCCACTGTGACAATGACACAGGGTCCTCCTGGCTGCTGTTTGAGAATCTCCAACATGTATTTTGTGAGCAGAGAAAACTGTGTTCTAGGTTGTCAATGATTTGGTAGTTCCGGGTCGGGACCTGGAGCTTGAAGGTTCCAGAGATTCTTGGTTGGGACAAGACCGTCTGTCCCATGTCCAGGCTTTGCTAGATGCCTGCAGCCTGTGTGAGTACATAGGTGGGCAGGATCGTTATAGGCCAGGTCTTCTGCCATTTGGAGACAGGACCCTGTCAGGAGAGCTGGGGGTTCCTGCTGGAGACTGCATCCCTTGTGAGGTGGGATTCCTTGCCCAAGGACTGGGAAAGTCAGGACAGCTCCAAGAGTCTGGGGGACCTGAAGTGGCTTGTGAGTCCAGGGGGCTGGAGAGAGTCCAGAAGTCAATGGAGGAGTGTTCAAGCTTGAGGGGGGCTGGGGAACCCTATTCAGAGGCCAGGAGTGGTGACCTGTGTAGTGAGTGAGGTGCTGTGAACAAGGCTGAGTAATCGTGAAGAAGTCCTAGTCTCGGGGACCTGAAGTGGCTTGTGAGTCCAGGGGGGCTGGAGGGAGTCCAGAAGTCAATGGAGGAGTGATCAAGCTTGAGGGGGGCTGGGGAACCCGATGTAGAGGCCAGGAGTGGACCTGTGTAGTGAGGTGCTGTAACCAAGGCTGAGTAATCCTGAAGAAGTCCTAGTCTGGGGGACCAGTGTACAGATCAGTGGTGCTGCTGAAGTGTAGCCAGGTGAGCTAGCATTTTCAGTGATCTGATGTATTGACAAAGCTGGACAATCCCCTGCGTGGGAAACCTTATGGTGTAAAGACTTTCATTTTCCTTCTTAATAAAAGTGGGCTGCCGTGCCGATAAACCGCAAGTCTTGACTGACGTGGACTCACTTACAAACATCTACCACAGGAGCTAACAAACCCCCATATCACAGAGGGATTTCAGGAAAATACTGCATTGAGGCCACTAGATGGAGCTGACCATCATAGGAAATCATTGTGTAAAATAAATGATGGCCACAATGTATCTCGGCGGGGGAAATGCTCCTCACATTTGTCCAACTAACTTTCACTTGCAGTAAGTTTTTATTATTAAAGTTTTGTAGGATACATTGTGCAACTCGTACAAATGTTCAGAAGTAACCAACCCATGAAAACAATTCCAGCGTGCATCCGTAAATCATACAAGAGAATACAAGTGATGGATATAAAGATCAATGAGCGCGGCGTGTTACAAGATCGGGTTTACAGTAACCATACACATTGTAAGAATGGCAACAAGAGGATAATTAGGGAAGGAGAAGAGAATAAAATGAGGGGGAGGGGAAATCTTGAGTTAGCCATAATTTGGGAGACACTCTTGGACTGGGTGTGAGAGTCGGGTCCTGCACAGAGGATAGGCAAGATACCCAGTAACCAAGGCCTCCCAGGTCAGGGGGCCGAGAGAAAAGGAAGAGGGAAGGAAATAGAACAAGATGGTAAGATGAAGAACAGATGGAGGACATCGGGGACCCCCTTACCAGAAACCTGGGGCCTCAATGCCTATAGCAGTGTGTAGGTGTCAGGGGACATGGGGGGGTGAGTGTAATGTATACACGGGGCCCAGGTTTCTAAGAATTTCTTATTAGGCATCTTTCTTAGACGACCTCTTTGCTAAGATGGACTTCCACGAGGGGGCCAAGCTCTTGTTTCCAAGTCTTTGTTTTGCTGCTAGTAGAACATTTATAGCCAATTTAAATTGGGAAACTTGTGAGGCCTGGGGGGTTCAAATGCCATAAGATGTACCAAGGGTTCCTGGGAAGGTGGCAGGTTAGTAATGTTTGTAACCGTTTTAGGAAGCTTTTTAGGATTGCCCAAAAGAGGACAGAGAGAGGCAAGTGAGGGGATATGAAGTTGCTGGAATATTTATCAGAGTTCCAGGTGCAGAGTGTGTGTGACCCATCAAGAGGCTGATAGACGTAGGTCTGGATTTAGGAGGACTCCATGGGAGTGAATGGTGAGAAGTTTGAGAACAGAGCAATGCTTCTAAGTCAGCCCATAAGGAGCCATGTATTGTGGTGTAAAGGGGGGTTAGTGGGGTAATCTGGGCACCAAGAAATATTTAGTAACATTTGGAACACCCAAACCTCCTTGTTCCTTATGTATATACATAGCATGTCTTGGGATTCGTGGCCCTTTGTCTGCTCAGTTGAATCACAAGACCTGATTTTAAAAAAAGATTTCAGAGTATAGGAGGAGATGGGGATCGGTGGGGGTGGGGATGGGGAAGAGTACAGACAAGTAAAGGAGTTTTGGTAAAATTGCCAATTTTCCATCACTGATCCTCCCTATCCAGGAGAGGTGAAGATGAGTCCAGGACAGAAGTAGGACTCTCAAGTATTTGAAAGTGGGGATGTAGTTGGCCTCATGGAGTGTGTTGTACGAGCGAGGGAGATGAATGCCCAAATAATCCAGGTAGGAGGTGGGCCAAGGAAACTATCATTCTGTTTTACAGAGGAAATTGGGAAATGTATGGAGTACAGAGAATAGGACTGGCAGGGAGGTGTTGGGTTGGACCAAAGTAAGTAAAAGATCATCGGCAAACAATCTGACTGTAACCAGTTCAGGACCGACCACCACACTTATACTGCGGCAGGGCAGTCCCGCTTCTCCAGATCACATACAGTACATGTACACACTGTGAGCCCACCGCCCTGACTGTGCTGTCACTCAGTACAGCACAAGCCGATTATCAGGTCCAGGCCCATGATTTCTGGCCTGGACCTGCTGATCACCTGTACCGAATCAGAGATCATCCTGTGTCCACATTATAAACACAAAAAAAAAAGGTGATCAACAATCAATAAACCAACTTAACAGTGAATTCAACTAAAACAATGCTGGCCACACCTAAACATACTCATATAAATGTGCAAAAATGTCAATAAATAAAAAATACAGCGTGCGCTTTCCTTAACCACTTTAAGTTCACCCTATTGCAGAAATACTGCTACAGGGTGGACTCCCTGTGCAAAATCATGTATATATATATTATGGTTCATGCTCCCTCGGTGACCAGAGGCATGCCTGCACGCACCAACCTGCCATTGCTGTGATTCAGTTCCTGACCGATCAATCATCATGTTCAGGCCAGTGATGATCAGCCTGGATCTAATGATCGATCTCTGCTCTATCAGAGATTCTTCCTGTACCTGTGTTTACATTACACAGGTACAGGAAATGATGAAATCTCTCTCTCTGGGCGCATTCCGTCCCAGAGAGAGAAGAAAGCAGATCCACGCATTACACACACACAGTAAAAATCACATTAAGGACTCATTTAAGCCCTTGATCGTCATTAGTACAGTGTACAGGTTGTTTGCTGATCACTGTATTAGTGTCACCCACCAGCGACTTCAGATAGCGTTAGTGTCAGTTAGCGTCCCTCCAGATAGCGTCAGATTGCCCGCCACTACATCAGTCATCACATTTAACCCTTGATTGCCAGGAACACACGCACATACACAATAAACCTCCATTGCTAGTATAGTGTCTAAACCAGGGGTCTGCAACCTTTAAGACATAAAGAGCCACTTGGACCCGTTTCCGAGAGGGAAAAAAAAGACTGGGAGCCGCAAAACCATTTGCAACATTTAAAACAAATCCGACACTGCATATATTGCAAAAAAAAGCGCTCTGGTCATGAAGGGGGTTTAAGGGCCCAGTAAGCAAAGGGTTAATCAGGGCCACAGTGTATCGTCATAATCACAATCATTCAGCCTTAGGTCAGTGGTGAAAAACCTTTTTTTTCAACTGAGCCAAATCTTGCCAAAACCACGATTGAAATTTATTTTGAGAGCCACATTTTTAAAACTGAAAATTCATCCCCCATATAGTAATTCATCCCCCATAGTAATAATTCATCCCCCATAGTAATTCATCCCCCCATATAGTAATTTCTTCCCCATATAGTAATTCATCCCCCATAGTAATTCATCCCCCATATAGTAATTCATCCCCATAGTAATTCATCACCCATAGTAATTCATCCCCCATATAGTAATTCATCCCCCCATAGTAATTCATCCCCCATATAGTAATTCATCCCCCATAGTAATTCATCCCCCCTATAGTAATTCATTCCCTCCTATAGTAATTAATCCCCCCTATAGTAATTCATCCCCCACATAGTAATTCATCCCCATATAGTAATTCATCCCCCCATAGTAATTCATCCCCCATAGTAATTCATCCCCCCTATAGTAATTAATCCCCCCTATAGTAATTCATCCCCCATAGTAATTCATCCCCCATATAGTAATTCATTCCCCCACGATAGTAATTCATCCCCCATATAGTAATTCATCCCCCTATAGTAATTCATCCCCCATAGTAATTAATCCCCCATATAGTAATTCATCCCCCATATAGTAATTCATCCCCCCCATAGTAATTCATCCCCCATAGTAATTAATCCCCCATATAGTAATTCATCCCCCATATAGTAATTCATTCCCCATAGTAATTCATCCCCCATATAGTAATTCATCCCCCATAGTAATTCATTCCCCATATAGTAATTCATCCCCCATATAGTAATACATCCCCCATAGTAATTCATCCCCCATATAGTAATTCATCCCCCATATAGTAATTCATCCC